AACTATTGCATTGTGAACAAATTTTTACCAAAATATAGTTATTTTCTTCTTATTTCATGTCTTTACAAAAATTTAAATATTGAATATCACGTGAAAGAGTTGTTTAGTACTTTAGTCAAATGAGTATTTTAAAATCATGTCGAATAACTGCTTTTTAAAACGATCGGTAATTAGCGACTAATTATCATCTTAACAGTCGGTAATTAGCGACCGTTTTTAAAATCATTTGCTAATATTTCATTTTACCGACTGATTTGACGCCCGTTGTTAATATTGATCGCTTCGTATGGTTAATTTTAAATTTTCAAAGACAAAATTGATGTATCCTTTTTATTTCTTACTATTAATCAAAGAAGTATTTATAAATTATTCATATATAGGATTTTTTTTCCTAATTCAGTAAGTATAATTGTCAAGTATATGAAGATTATATATTCTTAAAAAAAGATTCTCAAAGATTGCATTTTTTAAAGTAATTATATGTTGCCAAAACACATACTTATAGTAGTTGCTTATCCATCTATAGAATGTAAAAGATCTTTACTTATTTTATACAGTTAACTATGACAATTATTGTTGTATATAATAATTTCCTAAAATATAAAAGGATTTTTTTTATATAAAAAAAAAAAACTAAGGACACACCAGAAATTGACATGTGTCATTGTTGGTGTGTCTTTTAGTATATAATTATTATTATATAGTTATTGATTGATTGTAATTGTAACGCTTGATTATATAGGTTAGGGTTACTAACCCTATTGTATACCAAGAGGTAATTTAGACGTTTTTTTATACTACATATGCACCTTTAAATTTTGGTTCATCCTTCCATTTGATTCACATGATTGTGTTCTAAAATTAAATATACTATTACTATTTTTTATTCTACACTAAAGCCAATTAATTTTTATAGTTAGATCTCTCAATCAATCTTGACCATATGATGAATTGAATTATATTAGTAAAAGTAATTATACAAATTTTATTTTGCATTAGTAAAAGTAAGAGAGGATCATGTGGTAGAGAGAGTGGTGTCATGGCGAATAATTTTTTTTTTTTTTTTTATCATTAATGTGATAAAAATATGAGCATCAAAATACTAATGAGCAAGATGAGTGAGAAAATGAGTAGAGAGAGAATATGAAAGTGTTTTTTTTTTTAATCATTGTTGACAATGCTCTTTAGCATGTATTTAAAAGTCTATCTAACAAGCTTCCAATATTAGGGTAAGCTTTTACAATTTGACCATAACAACTAAACAGTTGCGCATAGGCTCCCCTAGTAATAGAAAAAATAAAAACTAATAATCCCATCTTTACACCATATTTAAAAAACAATCCCACTTTTCACCCTAATCTTTTTCTAACAATCCCTGACATTCTCATTTAATTAGCTCTTTTAATATACTTCCTCTGTCGCATAATACATGACATAATCAAACATTGCACACATGTCAATGCACTAGTTTAACTTTATTTTTATATAATTAAATATTAATGAAAATTATTTTAAAAAATTATATTATGGAACTTTAAATTAAAACCTATCTAACAACATATTTTATGAAAAATATATTACTATTATTATGTCAGTAAAAAAACTATGGTCAAATCTAGTGAAAAAAAGTCCAACGTCTCATGTATTTTGGGACGGAGGGACTAAGGGAGTATAGTATAGATGTACTAATCAAAGAGCTCAAAAGTGAAATATGCATGTTCTCATTGCTGTATAGAAGTAAGACATTTTAGCAAGTAAGTTTGAGAAAAATAAAAGGTACGCTTCTAATATTCTTGCCTTCTTGATATGTAGTGTGCACCATCACAATGATATATGGAGTAATTTTTTATCCTAAAATTTATAAAAGTTATCATACATCAATTAAATATAATGAACTAAACAAATTTGCTAATCTTTGAACTTAACATTGTAAAAATATACTTTATATATGCAATTCCATTGTTCCAAACCAAAACAAATTGAGGACGAAAGGAGTATTTCTGTAACAATTTATCATTTTGACCCTTGGGATGCATTATTCTGCCAACTCATGAGATGCTATAGACAACCGAATGTGCATTACTTCGACTTTGAATATCAAACTAAACTAGGGAGCAATCATCCGATTAGTTGATTAACTTAATCTCTTAATGTTGATGTAACCATGATTGTAAAATAAAGCAATCTTTAAAAAAATTCTATTCGTCAAAAAAAAAAAAAAAAAAAAAAAAAATTGTCCGCAAAGCCATGCGTATGAGAGTAAAATTATTGTCCCATATGACCATATATAATACATAAGAAATAAACAAACTGAAAACATAATCGAATCTCCGCTTAATTTAAGCGAATTAGGGACATAATCCTCCCACTTTCTAAATAAACGGCGGATAATAATATTCCTAAAGAGGCAAAGATGTTCGTAAAAAAAATATGCCCAAAGATGGAAAATAATTTTCTTTTGAAATAAACAAATGCCACATTTTTATCCTCACTCGCAATCCCTTCACCTTCTGGATAGTTTGCAAGGCACTCCCTTGTAAAAACAGACATTAAAAAACAGAGGGAAAAAAATTTAACAATGGAACCCATATTCAAAGGAGAAGCTAAAACAACCTCTTTAAGACCTACCACAAACTCAGAGCGAGTTCTGAGTCAAAATCAGCCACCAATATGACCAAAAAATTTTAAAACAAGAAAAATCAAATCATTATCCTCACAATGGAAATTTGGCAATGGCTAAATCAAGTAACACCCCATTATCACCCACTCAGCCCAAGTTTCCAAACACTTATTTCCTCCGAGCGCAAAATCAGACCTATAAGAGTAAAAGCAACTCATACTGATTACTAAACAAGTAAACATACATGTATTCATCAATCTAATGTTGTACCAATTGGTTGTTGGTGCAATGGTGATTGGGACTGCAGTAAGTAGGGAAAACCCGTGTACGATCCCTCACAACAACAATTAGGAGGAGACTGGAACCTAACCACCCAAAATTGATCCCCGAATCCGGATTAGCCCAAATGGTGAACTGGGTGAAACACCAAAAAAAATATCAATCTAATGTCGTACTCTAGTTCATATGCCAAGGGATAGCTCACATGTCACGACAAAAAAGATAAACATCTCAGACAAGTACGACCAAGCCAACACAAGTAGAGTTGCCAAAAACTAACATGAGCAATGAACCTAGCCTAAACAACACGAAAAAAGACTGATCTGGATTTAGCTCCAAAGCTTATTCAATAATTCAGTGAATAACGAATTTCAATTTAAGACTAGCAACAAATTAAGAACCTAATCAGGCTGTTTGTGAAGTAAGGACGAAAAAAAAAAGGGAGCCAAGCACGGCGTTCAGGCAAGCAAAGAAGCTAAATCTAGCAAATCTGAAATCCAAGAATACGCATTTCGATAATATAGGCAACAAATAGTATTTAATGCTTCACAACAGTTCTAAGATACACCATGATTCATTTATAGTCAAAGTGAGCAAAACAACTGTGAGAAAATAGGCTGAATACTAGCAGTCTCCACAAAGCGAAAAAACAAAAAAAAAAAAAATAACACACTTGTGAAAGAGAGAGAACATGAATAAATAAGAAGTTTAGTATTGTTTTTTGTTAAATTAATTATTCATGAACTAATAAAACAAACAAACAACACATCTTATCAGCCTGTACGTGATTGTTCTACATGAAAAACATCAAGCTCATCTATTAATGACCAGACTTCAGGTGATCTTTCTTGTCAGATGACTCAGATCACATAGAGTTATTGCAATCAATCCAAAGAAACTTACAGCATCAACAAGCAAGTCCTCGATTCCATGATACTCTTTTAATAGAAACAATTCATCTTGCCCAGAAAAAATGGAGCTCAAAGTGAGACTGAATCTAAATCAGTGAGCAACATACAAATAAGAGTAAAAATGTCAACTTGCGTAGTAGAAGTTATATCTCTCTATTATCTTTCTAAATGATAAGCTTATAAGTTACAAAAGATTAAGGCACACAATATCAAATACAAACCACAATAGAGAAATTTTCCAGTTCACTTCCACCAGATAATCTAATAACAAGGCCAGGTAAACACCAAGCAACAAAGAGACAGTAAAGATTGAGCAAAGAAATCAGCATTTTTATCGAAACCATGATTTTGATAAAAAAAATAAAAAAAAATTAAAGCCACAATCAAAGCCATTCTTACACCCCAAAATAAAAAAAAAATAAAAAAAAATTAAAATAAGATAAAGTCATGCACCTTGTCTGCCTAAATTTACTGCATTCAGAAACAAAACTGTAGCGATATACACTCCTGAAAAAGGCAGACTTGGTATTCAATAATCAAACAGATAGTAAGACACTAATACTTAAGTAAACCATGCTGATAACTTGGTATACTAGGATATGCAGAAAAATATCAAAACAAATGCACTGTGTATTAGAAATGGCTTTGAGATTAACCTGACAGAACATTGCTGAAACAACATCATCAAAAGAAAGCTGCAACAGATCAACAACTAAGCAGTCCAAAAGAAGAGATAATAACTAGGACTCAAGACAACCAGTACGAATCATAGTGTAAACAATTAAACATTTAGTCACCCCAACACCATTTCAACAGCATGGTAAGAACATCTCAAAACTTTCATTACTATAAGTTGTCAATAAAACAATGAAATCTGAAGGGGAGTACAAAACAGAAATTATGTACCATAACTAATGAATGACCACAACATTATACTGTGAAGACAAAAGGACAACAATATTTTGAAAGTAAAAGAATTGAGAAATAAATCTGAGCACCAGATCTTGAGTGAAATTCTTAATAACATTCTATTATTGTGAGTCATGGCTATGTTTGGACAATTTCCTATTACCATTTGAGATCATTTTTTATATCAATTGTCCAAAAGAAAAGCACTGCGTTTGGGGATACCCTGTATATAAGCTGAAAATGAAATACCAAATAAAGATGTTAAAGAACAAAGGACAGAGTTGAAAAGAAGGTAAGCATGATTAGATTCATGTTGAACAACTGACTGTTCTAATTTACAGAGAACTGTGCTCCTAAAAGAGCAAAGGTTTCCGTTACATTGATTATGATTGACTCTACTACACAAGCTACAAAGCGATCTGACACCCTTCTTATGAGTAAGAACAACAATACCCTTCAACTAAATTGTGTACAAATACAAATGGGAAACTCCACAACAGACTAAATCAGACATAATTCAACAGTGGCTTGGTTTGATTTGGTTTGGTTTGGTCAATGCTATTTCTTTTTTAACTAAAAAGAGTTAAAAACAAAAGGCATAAACCCTAACCGTCCTCGCCGAGGCCATATAGAACACCAGCATACTTCTCAGTGCTACCACCGAAGAAATTCTCCTTCAACTTCATAAATGCACAACAAGTGAGCAAACTATCCGACCCAGCCTGGTGACCAATCCCAACTCTTTTCACCTCCAACAACTCGGCAAGCTTGTTAAGCCCACCATGAAGGCTGTTACAGAACTTCATCAAATGCTTGATATCATACAGAAAAGGGAAATAGATATTGATCAAGGTAAAAAATCCGGCCTGCGTTTCGGGCAAGTCCCGGCAAGTCAACGACTTAAGCAAGTACCCAAAATCATACCCACTATGAAATGTAACCCATTTGATATCATCATTCAACACAATCCCAGACGACATAAGAAGCTCAGCAAATCGATTCGAATCGATACCCTCCGCCCTATATTTCGCAAAATCAATCCCACATTGCTTCAAAAGCTCAATGGAATCACTAGCATAAACATCCTCCCCAACATTAAACTCCCTAAAATTAAACTGCCAAATACAATATTTTTCAGTTCCACAAGTTGGCAAATTCCCCTTTCCATCTGAAAAAGTTAAACCCAACTGGATTAACTTCAACATATCAACATTATCTTTTAGGGTCTTATAATTAAAGTCTGTAATATTTTTGAAAGTTCCAACTGGTCTAATTACAATCCCAGGAAACTCAGAATCCATTGCAACATAAGGATAAGAATCAACAATTTCCCGAATTAAAGCAAACTCTTGTTCTAAATTATGATGCCAAACCTCCCTGATTTGAACCGTTTCTTCGCTAATCTCCATAATCGAGGACATGGATATTCAATCAAAGCGCATAATAGCAGCAGATCTGCAAAATCAAGAAGCAGAAAATCAAAAAAAGTAAAAAATTAAAGAAAAACCCAGGAAAGTGGTAAAGTGAAGCAAGAGATCTGACCTTAGAGCGATGAAAAAGGGGAACTAGAGCATCAGATCTAGGGGAGTAGATTGAAGAAGAAGGAGTCAACGAAGAGTTGAGGGGTGGGTGAAAGTGAGCGTGAAGGAGAAGAAGAAGGGGTGAAAGAGAAAAGTGAAGAGGGAAGAAATAAAGAAGAAAGGAAGGGAGGAGAGAGAAAGAGATAGAGGCGGCGATAGAGAGGAGAGAGACTGAAGAAATGCACGCGGTTGAAGGAGACTGGCAAAGTGGACTACTCCCAGTAATAAAACTTATTTACCAGTTGGACGAGTTGGGTTTTTTTAAAATAAAATTTATTTTTACCGAATACTTTCAATGTTTTTTTTTTTTTTTTTTTTTTTCGTAATAAAATAAAAATGATAGTAAGAAAGAGCTTCTTTAAAGTTGAAATCTCGCACAAATTAACTTGAATTGGATTAGCAGAAGTGAAATAAAGTGTAGAATAAAGGTGATCGTATTTGTACAAATGTGTATACTAGAATGTACTCATATGTTATCACGGGATATATCACACTAGAAATTATCAATTCTTCTTATTTGTTTTCCGATAAAAGCAACATATGTTTTGACATGTATTTTGGACACCGAAAAGAGCACCATGTTATGTTATTGTCGTTTAATTTATTTAAGCTAATTTATCCAATTATCTTATTTAATTTTTTTTACACACAATGCATATCATAGCCTTGGCGTTCACAAGGTTTCATTTGAAAAAACAAAACAAAGGGGTATGAAAATTGATTGTGTTTTGTTAAGTAAAAGACGACTATTCTATATATATATTAATATTAATGTTTAACTTGCAAATGATTACGAAATTTATTTGTAATATTTTCTTCTAAGGAAAATTTGATTCTAATAATCCAACCTTTGTGCGGTCTTTTTTTTATTAATTTGGCCTTTTGATTATTCCACATTAATCCAAGCTTTGGGGGTGTTATATTCTATTAGCCCAAGCAGATCACTTAACCTACAATAATAAGTCACTTGCCACGTGTTGCATTTTCATTTGTCCAAAAAATATTTTTGTTTTTTTTTTTTAAAAAAAAAACTTTAAAATGAAAAAAATAAAATAAAAAATTTCTCCTTTTTTTCCTTTCCTCTTCATCTTCTTCCTCCCTTAATTCCTTTCCCCACCTCCCTGCATAGCTCCCATTTTCGGCCAAACCTCCGCCCACCACACCTCAACCTCCGGCAGCAAGGAACCCCACCCCACCAGCCACCACCCTGGTCGAAACCCAGAAGCACGCAACCACCTCCGTTAGAATTCACCGGAAACCATCCAAAAAAACCACCGCATTCAAATTCTTTAAACCCATTTTTCTCGGATCTTCCGTTTTCGATTCTTTGACCCTTTGATCTTAACTGGGGTTTTCCCCTAATTTCACTTCAATGCTCAAGGAATGTTCAGCCAAAAAGCTTACTTCATTTCAATATGCAATTCAATCTTTATTTTTTTATTTTTATTTTTTTTGACGAACTGCAATTCAATCTTAACTGGGTAGGTGTTTTATTAGCTAATTTTTTGTGGGTTTTGGTTGATTTTTGATTTTATTGATGATGTGAATGCTGGGTTTGTTGTGATATTTTAGTGTTGCAATTTGTGTCGATGTTGTTGTAATTGGTTGCTACTTGCGGCGGTTTAGAGGTGGTGGTGAGAAGTTACGGCTACCGTTGGTTGTGGGCAAAGTGGGCGGTGGTTGCGAATTAGTTGAGCGGCTGTTGTTCGAGGCTGCGCTGTTGAATTGGTGCTTTGGTTGAAGTGTGGGAATTGGTGCGGTGGCAATGAGGGTTGTGTGGTGGTTTCAGGAGAAAGAGGAGAGAGGTTGTGTGGGTGGAACAAAAAGGGTGTGGCGTGGTGTTTTGATGGCTGGGGGTCGTTGAGTGGGCACCAACCCAGCGACGGTGGTGCTGCACTGCTGCGGTGGTGGGCCTGGTGGCCATGGGGAGGTGGGCTGCGTGGGCAAGGCTGGGGAAGGGGGAGAAATGAAGGGTTTATTTTTTCCTTTAATTTTTTTAATTGAATTAAAAAAAAAAAGGTTCATCAGGTAAGTGGTCATTTTTGCCTGATAAAATAGAATAAGATATAAAGCTTGGATTATCGTAAAATAATCAACTAGTTGGATTATTAAAAATAAATTGGTCAAAGGTTAGATTATTAAAATCAAATTTTTCTTTTAATATATTATATTAGTTTTTTTTTGTTATTATTATTATTTTTGTTTATTTTTAGAATGCTCCCCGTGTTTTATAAAAGTTCAAGCACTCGTGAAGCAAACTTCAAGCACAACTGTGAAGCAAACTTTGTGAATCGCTTTTTTTCTTTTATACCTTCTATTTAGAGCTCAATTACATCGAGCCTCGCGTCACGTCTAATGCTAGCATAAATAATAGAAAATAACCCGTATTTGGAAGAGCAAATCCCCTTCATTCCCGCATGGATCTCCTTCTCCATCTTTCGTATTCGTAGTAAGGACATAGGATGTAAAGCATGCTTTTTCCTGGCTTTTTAGTCTCTTTGCTAGCCTTCTAATAGCATCAGCCTTTACAACAATGTATTGATTTTCATTTCTTTCTCAGTCTTGGATGTCTTGCTTTTATGTGAGTCTTTCGTTCCTTCATTGGATGAAGTTGGTGTAATCTAATAGCCCCCAGGATGGAACAATGCCTCAATTTTAGCCATTAATAATTTTAATACTCTATAAGTAAATTATAAAAGTTATAGATTGTGATAATATTTATTGAAACGATTCTATTAAGATCCCACATATAGTGGCGGAACTAGAAATCTTTTATTAGGGTGACCAAACTATGTAATAATATCTCATACATTAAAATAATACGAAGTATAGTATATTGAAATCTCAAAAGAATGAAACAAAAAATATGTTAGGAGGAAGAATCGAATTTGGTACCTAAATAATTCCGTTTATACCCAAAACCTACTTAGCTCTAATACTATCAACATAATACTTTACCAGCATTTAATAGATAACCTAAACCAAGGGGGAAGCCAAAGCCCACCCTAGCCCCCCTTTGGTTCTGCCCTTGCCCACATACATGTATATGCTTTTTCCTTATATATAATTCACAAAATCCGATTAAAGTACGGATAGTGATTAGTGTAAAAGTCAAAGCAAATCAAGTAAAAAGATAGAATTTTGTAAAAGAAATAAAAGGTAAAAAGATAGAAGAAAGTAATATCTAAATTAAAATACTTCATCAAATAGACAAGTAGCTCTCGTAGCTCAGTTGGTTAGAGCACCCGTTTAGTAAGCGGGAGGTCTTGAGTTCGACTCTCAACGAGAGCATTATTTTTTTCACTTTAAATCTCCCTCTTTTCCCCTCCATTCAGCCATTCTACAAACGCACTCATATTCATGTATAATCGATGAGAGAGAATAAAATCGTTTCGATCAGAGAAAATTCCAAGCAACATCTACACTTCCAATTTTTCACACCTATTTTTTAGAGAGAGAAAATGTCGAACGAATCAAACACCACCTCGACGAAGCAGCAAAACCCTAAAAAAGCCAACTTGTTGGATCATAATTCTCTCAAACACATTCTTGACGAATCTGCTACTGAGGTATCTCTATTTTGAATTCAATTTACAAAATTTTCGGTTTTTTTTTCGTAATTTGAGTTTGTTTATCCTGATCTTCGATTTTGATTGTATTTTTATTAATTGTCGAACGATTTTGATGTTCTGTACCTCTGGATTGTTCCGAATTGAACGAATTTTATGCAATTAGGGATTTTATATCGACTGTTTGCAATTAGGGTTTGGTAATCTGCAATTTGTGGTTGTATTGAGTTGTATGAGTTTTGTGATTTGTTTTAGTTGACTCACCGAAGGACAGTCAACGCTCTAATTAATTTCAGTTGAGTGATGAAGTTTTAGTGTAGTAAGATGACTTTATTTTGCGGATTTAATTTTTGGGCTGCGAATTGGATTTTTGGGTGCTGAATGCGGAAAAACTTAATGACCCTATGCAAATTTTGGAAAATAGATGGTTAGATTACGAATTCTGGCAATCATTGTTGCCTGGAATGATTAGAAGCTCGGAGAACTAGGACTTTGCCATTGGCTTATCGCATCCCAATGGAAAAATTGGGATTCAGACAGTTTGTCTTTGTATTCTAACCAACTATACAATAGTTACAACTTACAACTAAATTAGACTTTCTTGCTGACCTTTATGTGTAATTTGTCGAGTTTCTATAGTTGATAGTGATAATTTCGTTGTTTGGACTGTTAAAGATGCTAAATTGTGAGTAGGGAGTAATGGAACTTTGGCTAAATTAGATAGCTGCATTTCTCCTGAGATTATGACAATATGCTCATTATTTTTCCAGGTTGTTAAGAATCGTGGATATGTGGAGGATGTTAGGATGAGCAATGTACGATTGTTGATGGGAACCTTCATTATAGCCATTGCCTTGGTGGCACAATTTTATCCTAAGAAGTTCCCAGAGAACAAGGATTTTTTGATCGGATGCATCATATTATATCCTTTTCTTTTATAGTTTTGTTTTTGATTCTTACTAGATTGTGTGCTACTGTTAACACTACTGGTGCATGCTATTGCTTCTCTTTTACCACTTACCTTGGTTAAATATTGCGAACGTTGTTCACCAATTTTTAGCAAAGTAACAGTCTTGTTGACATGGAATTACAAACTTAGGTTGTATGTATTGTAAATTATTGGGTGTGATATTGTATTCTGTCTGGGTTTGTCCCTGATCCATGGGAACTATGAAGTCCATAGCTACAAGGGAATCAGAGTTTATTCCCCATTTTTATGTTACAAATTCTTCTTTGCAGGATCAGCTGTGAATTAGCTTCTTTGAAACAGGTGTCATCATATATCTTAAAGTCTTCACTGGTTAGAAAGGTTGGGTTTATTATGAATCTTGACCTCTTAAGAGCTTAGCCACTTTGGGTCAAAAGTGCGTGGTATTGTTATTGTCAACTCATGCTTGTCAAGACCACTTCTTATAGTGCTATTAATATTTTTCTTGACACATGGATTGAGTATGTGTGCTATGAGGCTTGCAGTCTGAGTTACACAGGAAACAATAGATTGGGATTAGGAGCCTCTTTAATATTATGTAGAATGTAGTTTATGGTTGGGTAAATTTAGACCTGTAGGCTTGCTTCTGAGTCGTTTTGATTAGCTATGTTAGTGCAGAGGAGTCATTGGAGAGCTTTTGATGTTGGAGTGTTGGACATTGATGTTAGTTTATTTAGCCTTTAATTAGAGCTTGTTGTGTCATAGCTATATTATTGCTTGTAGGTTATTGGTGGCTCCCCTGTTTTCGAGGGACTTTGCAGTTTGCACTTACTGGTTATCAGCCTTCCTTCTATGGCATAAATGTTACCCTCTCAAACAGTAATTTTATGCAAGTCTCAGGGGTACAAGGCTAATAAGCTAGAAAATAATGCATGTTATTCTGACCTGCGATTAATCTACAGTAACTACTGTTTTGATATGTTTATGGAATGATGTTTAATCCTTGACTTCCTTGTACATATATCGTCTTCAATGGTTTGTTGCAGCTGATCATTTACAGAAAGGAAAAGAACGCTGTAATGTTCACCTATCCTCCATCGGTAAGTATCTAGAATCCTAAAAAAGCAATTTATGTTTGTTTGTGTGTGTTTTTGTTCTTTTATTGTTGTTGTTATTGTTAAAGTTTGGAAATAGGAGGTTATATCATGGATAAGACATCTTTCTATCCTTTCAATATGAATTATTTTCTTGCTGGGTTGCTGCCAGAATGTGATTCAATTGATATTTTCTTGAGAAAAGTGTGATTACCGTATAAGTTAAGCTTCTCATTGAGTGTTTTAGTCTTATACAGTCATGAATCAATGTCATGATGTTTAAGGTTGTGAAAGATTAAGGCACTTTTATACAAAATAAAATGGTAATTTAATGTACAAATGAGGCGTTTTGCTCAACTTCAGATCAATATCATCATCCATTCATGGATTTATAATTGAACTAGGTCACTTGATGCTAGTTTGTTTGTTTGGTATATATAGGAATTAAAGTGTTGGACTAATTTGTAAGTGGTAATCATGAAAACGGATTTGAATGTCCTTAAATATTTTTCAGAAAACAGCATTGTTATGCTTCATTGTGTCTCAAGTCTCAATGTGTGTCCTCAAAATAGATAGTCATTTACTAACTTGTTTTTCGATCTTCGTCTTCTAGATAATTAGTATATGTGAAGCATTTAATCCTAAAGGGCTGAACATCTAAATTCATGGTCCCATGGTATCTGAACGAAGAGTGGAGGAGTGGGACCATGGAGGGGTTAAACGAGGGAGAGGGAGATCGAAAATTACTTGGTTGAAAGGAGTTAGGAAGGATATGAAGTATATGGATTTACATGAGGATGAAACTTTGTATCGTAAGGGATGGAGGAGGAAGATTTATGTCGATGATTACATGGAATAATTTTGGTTCATGTTAGCCGACCCCACTTATGGGATTAAGGCTTTGATTGATTGATTTGATTGATTGATTTTACTTTGTAATTTGAACGAGCTTTCATGTGCACACCATTTATTTTTTTAGTGCTCTCCCCCTTTGCTCTTTTTGAGGATGTGTGACATTATTGGCATATGCAGAGTTTATAAAATGTGTGATTTCTGATTTCATTTTGCCTATGTTCAGGGATCTTACAATGCTACAGGCCTTGTCATATCTTCAAAATTACCAAGGTTCTCTGATATGTACACATTGACAATCGAAAGCGCTGATCCAAAATCAGTCTCCGCCCACAAACCTGTTGAATTGACTAAGAGTGTCACCAAATGGTTTCTCTCTACATACTCTCGAAGACATACTTTTCATACATTCATACTCTGAGGTTGTTTTGATTGCTTATTTGTGTTGTTTGGTTAATCCTATAGGTTTACCAAGGATGGAGTTTTGGTGGAAGGTCTTTTCTGGAAAGATGTCGAGGGGCTAGTAGATGACTATAACAAGGAACCAAAGAAGAAAAAATGAATAGTTTGAGATTTTCTCTTACCAACAGAGATAATCAGAGAATGGTCTTAGAGATTTAGAATTCAGTAGAACTGATTATATGCTGGAAAAAACTTAGACATGTTGAATCTTTCAGAATTCTGTTTCTTGAGATTATTCTCATCTTTCTTGAGTGCGAGAATTTCTGTTCTCAAGATTGTCATTGATAGTTTATACGGAGCACAAGGTTATGCTCAATACTTCTACCTTTTGTGGTTACTCTTCGGTGATTAATGACAAGCTACTTTGCTCTTCTTTTTTCGTTTTTTTTTTTTTCGAGGAAAAACTAATTTTCCTTTTTTTAAAAAAAAACCTTAAAAGTATGTCTATTTTTCAAATATTAAACGTAATTGTAATACGGGTGCTCATGCGAGATTGGAGATCGGGTGTAACGTGGAGTATGTATTGTTGGGTTTTAAACCTTAAATGTGATTTTGGATCGGAATATCCAAATACTTAGATATCATAAATTGATATCCAAATATCGGATATCTAAAATTTTCGGATCGGATGCTTCGGATATCCGTTATCCAATATTAAGAAAAATTGATTATGATTACTTTATAAATTTCACTAATTTTACCGCTTTTTTATCACTAAGTTATACAACATATTTGAACAAAATAGTAGTTTTTTTGGAATAAATATTATCATCAAATATATTAAGATATTATAATGAGCTAATAATACAAGTGAGTTTTATATGAACAATTTAAATTTTTTTTATATATTTCACTATTTCAACCTTTATATTTCGGATATCGGATATCCAAAATTTTGAAAATCAATATCCAAATCCGCATCTGATATCCGTTTTTTCGGATCAGTATATCCGATCCGAAATGAAAATTCGGATCGGATATCCAAAAGTTCGGATCGGTTGCGAATCGAATAATTAGATTTTCGGATTCTCGGATAGTTTTGTACAGGCCTAGTTTTGAGTTCCTTTCCCCATATCATTATTACTTTGGCGATATTGGATCTTTCATATGATTTAATTATATGGGCTACTTTTCTTCGGAAAAAAAAAAACACAAAAAATTGGGCATAGAGCATATAGGAGAAAAGTATTTGGAAATTGTATCGCCGCCATCATAGAATGATGTAATTTTTCCGGATGTCATGTCAAAGATACCCATATCGTCTCCACGGACATCGGTTCTGCATGATACAGCCCAATATGCTGTTGATTCATCATCAATCAAGTATATAGCGTTCTTTTGGCAATTTGGAGCCTCTGATATATGAACAGCAGTAGCATAATTATCACCAACAAATAACATATAATTACCCAAATCCTCAACATTTTCCCACAACGAAGATGATATGTCACGAACATGCTTATAGACCTTGAAATAAATGGTACGGTAGCAATGTTTATTGTCCCAGAGGTATATATAATCACCTTGAGCATCTTGATATTCATCCAGACTCTCTTATGCGTAAGACTACAAGTAAATCACCAGCTAACTCCACCATATACATCTCTCCTTCATAAATATATCTCGGGGTGATGATGTTTCTCTACACAGATCGTAGGGAATAGTAATATAATCTTTAGCCTTGACAGGGTTAGAATTAGCCGCGATACTAGCTACATCACAATATGCAATCGCTGCATTACAAGTTTTTTATTAATAGGACCATACAAGATGATTACTTTTCCATCCCAAACCATGGCTTGATGAATAAAAGGGCGGGTTAGATTTCGTGGCCATGGTTCAACTACTTCAGTCCATGCTTTATCTCCGGGACGAGCACAAACTATACAATCAAATGGGAAATGTATTACAAACACAACTAACTCATCAATGTTGTTGCTTCCAGGAATCTTTAATACAATGAATCTTCGCACCAAAATTTTCATAGCCCAGGGATATTTCTCTATCATCACAGGATCATCGTCGTCTTCATCGTCTGACGATCCGTATCCTTGATCAGGGAAGTAGTCGTCTGAGCATATAACTTAACAATTAGACTTGTCATCGTTACCCGGCTCCGGCTTAGGCCCTGCTAGCAGTAACCAAGGCGGAGTTGGTTTATCCGCACGACTCCACACGGGTTTAACCATGGAGGAGCAAACATGATTCCATGAATGACATAACTTCCTCAATGGAATCCAATTTCAAAGCAATTCCAACAAGAATATCAGAGGGCAACAAGGACCAATCACCCATCTACATTATAACATAATTAAGAGTCTCAAAATCAAATTCAACAAACTAAATTCATCACCAAAGAATCCATAAATCAAATCCACCCCGTGCAAGAAATTCCAAATTAATCTCCTACATTAAATAAAATAATTAAAATAATAAGTATACAGTAATTGAATTGAAAAAGATAAACAGGCAACATACCTTTATAAATCGAATTGTTATTATATATCCTTGTATATAAGTATATTTGTCAATTTGAGCCTGCTAAAACGAATCAAAATTAGAATTAAGCATGTATACAAAACTGAAGATTCAATTGCAATTTCTGTTTATAGAGGTAATTAGGTAAAGATAGGAATAAACCAATACCGACTTGGATTAGGTCTACTATTAACTTTATACAGTAACAATTGAAGCCCACATCAACAGCCCACGTAAATCCAACCCCATTTTTTTTTAAACGGTAAACCCACATTTTTTTTATACTTGTACTTGTATAAGGCATTACTCTAATCTACCCCTTTTGTTTTGTCATAATTGTAAGCCTTTGAATTTTGCACTTTTTATATACTAGTACAAACTATGAGTATTTTTTTTTTTAATTAACATATACGGGTAAAAAACAAATGTTGTCATATAAAATGTTTTTAGATTAGTTTTTAGTATATTTTTTCATTATCTTAACCTTTTATACTTCTTGATAATAAATAATTATAAATATTAATGGTCAAATCTATGCATTAACATATGTGTCAGTCAAAGAATTACAATTATTATGAAACGTAGGAAGTATAATAAGAGTTAAGCATAAATACAGTCCCCAAACTACTGTATTTGTGCACTTTTGGTCTCTCAACTTTTAAATGCTAATTTTTGGTTCCTCAACCACCTATATACAAAGACACGAAGTATGTGATTTCTGACCAAATAGTTTAGGGACTAATCCTAGTCAACAATAGTTTAGAAACCTCATTTAAATAACACAAGCTAGGAGACACGCATACATTGCGTGTACAACACAAGAAATCTATATGGCTTTTTTTTTTTGAAATATTATCTTATTTATTCTAATAAAAAAAATATTAACGTATTTAAAAATTAATTTAATCATGAGAGTAAGGGATAACTCAAATAGTTAAAGTTTTCCTCCCAATTCAGGAGATTTGGGATCGATTCTCACCCTTGCCGCACTACTGATATGAATTGGGATCGTGTTGCTTCTTTTATTCCCTTTCTTAAGGTTTTTTTATGATGCTACTATGAGACTCTCAGGTTCTTTGTATGCTACTCTAATGTGTATTTGTTAGAACTTGTGACAATCGGCAAGATGATTAAAAACAAGTGTGAAAGTGTTGATATTAGGGAAAGGTCAATGTCCAATGGGATGAAGAAAAAGTATGACAAGTATTGGGAAAATGTGGATAACATTAACTTGATGATGTATGTTGCTGTTGTGCTTGACCCTAGACGTAAAATGCATTATGTTAAGTGGGCTATTAATGATCAATATGATTCTGCAAAGGGCACACAGTTGTATGATATGGTGATGGGAACTTTGACTTCTTTGTATGAACATTATGCTACTTTACAATCTCAAAATGTGTCAAGTGTTTCTGAAAATATTGATTTGACTTCAAAAGACTTTGAAAACTATAATGATTGGCATGATGTTGCTGATTATGAGTTTGAGAGGGATATTGGTGGACAAACAGATTTTGACAAAAAAAGTGATTTGGACAAGTATTTGATAGATGATAGAGAGCCTAATATTATCGGTAAGAGTTTTGATGCTTTGGGATGGTGGAAAAAAGCGGTGGAGAGATATCCTATAATTGGTCTTATGACTAGGGATGTATTAGCCATTCCGGTCTCCACGATTGCATCAGAATCTGCATTTAGCACCGGTGGAAGAGTACTTGATCCATTTCGTAGTTTACTTTCTTCACATATGGTTGAAGCTTTGATATGTACACAAGATTAGATGCGCACTACACGTGGTCCACTTATGATTGAAGAAAGTATCGATGACATTCAACAAACTGAAGAGGGTATTTTTTCCGTTTTTTTTTATGAATATTTTTAATTATTGTTTTGTGGGATTGAATCATTGTTTTGTTCTAATCTTGTGGGATTGAATTAATTAATATGGATAACCGGGAAGGATTATGGTAAGACAATCACTAATTCTAGGAAAATGGCTTACTACTTTAGTTTCTCCCTATCCTTTTTATTTATTGTTCTATATGTTCAACTGTTTTTCAGGGCTTTCATCTTAGTAACATAATGGTTCCTTTTTATTTATTTAAATGTCAAGTTTGCTTTTAAAGTATGTTCATGACTTGTAGTTGAGTGATTAAGTGATTGAACTTTCTTTCAGTGAGATGCTAAGATGTCATATTGTTCTACCTGTTTGCTTTGTGGCTAGCTGCATTTCTGGTCCACGTTTCCAATTTATTAATGTATTTTCATCGTATTATTTGTAGAATTGTCGTCTCTTGTTGATCCGCCTTCGTTTGCCGTCGTTGATGATTATTTTTAGCATTAGAAGGTAATTCTTTTTTTAGTTTGAATATTTTAGAAGTTATAGTTTAATTTCTACATTTTTTTTTTCTTATGAATATCTAATATATTGTTATTTTATATTTTGCAGGGTTGTTGACTTGTCGTACACTCGTACTTTGTTGACCCCTTATTGGTTTCTGGCGTTGATGACTTATTTAGTGTTTGATAAAATGTTTATGCACTGTTAACATTTGGACATTAAGGTTTTTGGACTTCAAATTTTCTTATGTAATTTGTACTTTGTTGCAATTAGCCAATTATTTTGCATTTTGAAGGTTGTGTATAATTTTATTATGTTATATCTGCAAATTAGTTGTTGGACAATAATTTCAGGTCTATTTTATCTCTTTGTTCAGGTTATGAATTAATTGCCTACATAGTAAAAAAGGGTCCACAAGACAATAACGTGTGAAAAAAGGGTGAAAAATCAATTTTGCCATTAAAAAAACCCCAATTAAAGAAATCGGATATAGAATATCCGACTTATCCGATCTGAAAATTTCGGATATCCGACATTTTTGAATCAGATACGGATATCAAATATCCGGATTTTCGAATACAGATATCCAATCCGAAATCTAGAGGAGATACTAAATACTTCAGTCATATCCTTGAAAACAGAGGAGATACTTCTAGTTGAGTAGGCGCTAGAAACTTCCAAAGTGTTCCCTGTAACTCCTAAATCTCTCTGTAACGTTCCACTGTATTCCTTCCTTGTATTTCCTTCCATCTTCCATCTTCCACACTCTGTACTCTTCATTCTACTCCTTCAATTCTTCCAATCTCTCACATTCTCTCTCCTCTTTTCTGGGTCTCCAATGGCTGCTAGAACCATCACCACCAAACGCCTGATTACTCGCTCAGCTTATGCCGCCATTTCTGCTTCCAAAACTTCCCCTTCTTCCTACCCTCTTTCCCACTCTCTCTCCTCTTCCAACTTCTTTTCTGCCCCAAAAACAGCTGTTCCCTCCAATTCTAGCGGTTTGGCAAATGGGGTTTTGGAGAGAGAGCTTTTCAGGAACTCCATTAATGGCGTCGCCAGCAATTCATTTCTGGGTTCTCGATTTTACTCTGTTTCTGCTGCTCCTTCTGCGAGCTCAGGCCAGGTTACTCATTTATTCAATTCTATTTTTTCTTATTTAATTTTTTCTGGTGATTTTGATCATTGAATGATCTTTTGTTATAATTTTCTAGAATGGTTAGATTCAATGATTGTTTGGTAGGCCTTACATTCTAAATACACAATTAAAGTAGAGATTTTGATTTTTGCATTGTAAAATGTGATGTTGACCTTCAAATTTTGGCATTGTTCTTGTTCATAGTTGAGGCTGTGTATTTTGACCATATATATAAAATCAAGGTTTAATAAAATTAGGGAAGGGCTCATAACTATCATAAGTTCAAATTATATTATGTTCAAATAAGGGCAGGTCAAATAAGTAAGGTTGAGATTAGTTCAGGGTTTTTATTTGGTGATCAAGAAGATTACACTCTAGGTTTATACTAATGAAATACAGTTAGGGAGTATGATTTCGAACCGTTAAGCTTAGAATTGCGGGCCTGAAGTGGTAATGATATGACCTTGCTGTAAGTTGTTCCTAATTATGTAGTTCTTATAAGTTATGGTTGATCATTTGAGTCAGTGGCCCATGCCATAGTTTGGAAGTCCCGTTGTGGCAGATGTAGATGTTTGGCTACTAATTTTGGTGAAATAGATACATTGTGTGGTAGATAAGTGAGATTCTATTAGGGGTGGCCAAATTGCAACTCTTAAATGTGTCTGAGGATTACGAAGATGAATTTCCTTTCGTTAGCTTAATTTGTGGAACCAGAGAGACAAGCTGCTCTTCCTCTTGATTTGAGGTGCGTATAGGGTACTTAGACTGGTATTAACATTTGCAATTGGGGTCAAGTAGAACTTCAGAGTGGAAGAGTGAATCATTGTGCCCTGATACAGTGAGTGCAGGCAATTGACAAATATGATGATACCTCAAAAGTGCTTCTAAGTAGTAATTTGAGAAGACAGTTGAATGAGTGGCTCGCATAGTTTAGCTTATATGTTGCAACCTGTAGCTTCTTTACCAAAGAAGGTACTTCACGACAAATTCTTACGATCATTTTACACTAGGGCTGTGCTGTTATCTGTCTGATCATGTAGACTAAGCTGTTTCTAGATTTAAAGATTAGGAGCATTGCCTGTAAGGGATAATTGTTTCTCTTGTTTTTCTTGCCCCTCCTCCATATGTACTCTTATCGGTGGCTATGATATATCTTATTGGTTTGAAAGATTGTTAAGGTGTTAGCTTATTATTGTTGTAACCTTGGAGAAAAAGGGAGTCAAAGGAGAGCTTTCTTTGGTTCAACCTAGGATATTAAGAAACATACATTGCAAGGCTGGTGTAGCATAAGTGCTGGTTATTTGTCTTGATGACACTGTCTTCTAATTGCTTGTCCTCACTTTGTGTTTGGCCCCTCATTTTTGAATTTCGTCAGGCAGGCTAATTCAGTGTTCAGTTTATTCAATCTTCCCTTTATTCCCTTTTCCTAGCTCTTGCTCATAAAACTACTGCTTAACATTCTCCCACATTTTGTTCTAGAAGTTTGTGTGTTTGCTTTATCCTCATAATGAGAAGATGACTAATTGTTCTTGCAATCTTTTTGCGTCCTGATGTTTACATTCTTTCAGATTAATCAACCAGAGTTTACTGAGATGGCATGGGAGGGGATTGTTGGGGCTGTTGAAGCTGCACGACTGAGCAAACAGCAAATTGTCGAGACCGAACATCTAATAAAGGCCCTGTTAGAACAGAAAGATGGTTTGGCCCGTAAAATTTTAACAAAAGCTGGGCTTGACAATTCGTCAGTGTTGCAAGCTATAGATGACTTCATATCCAAGCAGCCCAAGGTATGTTTTCATGAGCATAATTGCTTATATATCATTAATATATAAAATGAGCTGTTTTTATGGTTAAATGACTTTTGATACTGCAGGTTGTAGGTGACACTAGCGGTCCTATTCTTGGCACAAATCTTGGTTCCCTTTTGGACAGAGCCAGAAAACATAAGAAAGAAATGGGTGATGATTTTGTGTCTGTAGAGCATTTGGTTTTGGCATTTTATTCAGATCCAAGGTTTGGGAAGCAATTGTTTCAAAATTTTAACCTCAGTGAGAAGGATTTGAAGGAGTCCATTCAAGCTGTTCGTGGAAGTCAAAAAGTTACAGATCAAAGTATGTTCTTTTTATTATTTTGAAATTATCATTAGTAAAAGTTAGTTGTTTTCCATGATTACAAGTTTGATGATGACCTACCTGGGAAGTGGGCGGATATTGCTGATATTACTGCAATGTGGATAACTCTTGCAATGCCATTTAAAATTAACTTGTTATCTACCAAGAACACTTTCATGGTTGCTGCTATTAGTAAATATGATGTTCATTTACTTTTGCGTCCATTATGTGGCAATAAATTTTCTCTAGTCTCTATTTTGACTAGTAAAAAGTGTATAGCTATCTTGAGCTCATTCCGTGCTGCTTTGGAATTAAGCTAAGTTCTTGGTAACTCGTGTTCGGTCATAGTGACACGATTTCAACAAACTGCTCTCGTCTTTCTAATTTATTGATTCACTATTTAGAGAATTTATATTCTCTCATACTCCCCATTCCCGCTAGAAAAGTTGTAAATTTTGTGCACTTATAAGGCTATCCTTGTAATTTTGTGAATTTAGCCTTTCTTCCACTGCCCTAATATCATTATGGCTCTCATTTCTGGATGTAGATCCAGAAGGGAAATATGAAGCACTAGAGAAGTATGGAAGTGATCTTACTGAATTAGCTCGGCGCGGTAAACTTGATCCTGTTATTGGGAGAGATGATGAGATTCGCCGCTGCATCCAAATATTGTCCAGAAGAACCAAGAACAATCCTGTAATCATTGGTGAGCCTGGAGTTGGTAAAACAGCAATAGCGGAAGGGTAAGCTTACTAAATCTGTTTATTCCTTTTTCTTTGCAATGAGTGTAATGTCATCTGCTATATGTATCCTCTATAGAAATATGATTGATTAATGGGATGTTTCGAGATGTGTGTGTGTTATTTTTAATTAAAAAAAAAATTACTTGTAAATGTGTGAAATAATGGTCTATGAGCCAGCAGACTAATTTTGGGATTGTTGTGTCATCCATTCCAGTGATTTATCAGCCTTAATTTCCAAAATACTTTTTTTTTTCCTTTATAGGGTTATCAATGGGAAATGAAGACGATTTTATGACATTTTTATTTTATACACTTTTGTTCCCAACTTTTCGTTGATAATTATCTTATTAGATGTCTATCTTATCGTCTCTTTTCCTAAGATTAGTGCTATATGTGCATTGTTTGAATATTGGCATGCCTTTTGGATTCAACTTTCTTTTCCCCTGGCCCCTGCTCAGTCACTCACAGTGAAGCCATGATCATGTTATGCTATTTTGCAGATTAGCCCAACGTATAATACGTGGTGATGTTCCTGAACCATTGATGAATCGGAAGGTGCGTCTCCTATTAGAAAGTAATTATAGTTTAAGCGTTTTGTTGGCTGATGCTCGATAATCTAGTTGGTCTTGCTTTAATGATTAATCAGTTCAAGTGATGTTTGACGTGTTGCTTGTGAAAAGAAAAGCAATAGTTTACTATCTTCATGTCGTGTTCGTTTTCGTGTCGGAAATTAAACGGGTTAGAGAAGGTCAACACTAACCTGACCCATTTAATAAACGTGCCGTGTCGTTTTGACCCTATTAATTAATCGTGTCGAAAACCCTTAACACTAACCCGCTTTTTTCGTGTTCGATTTGTGTCGTGTTGTCGTGTTGAATTGAAAAATATTGGTCTTGTTCAATAGATTTATTAATAATTCCATAAATTATTGGGTTTTTATACTAGGCGGGTTGAGTCGTGTTAATTTCGTCTCAACACTAACCCAACCTGTTTAATTAAACGTGTTGTGTCGTGTTGACCCGTTTAATTAAACATGTTGAAAACCCTTGACAATAACCCGTTTTTTTCGTGTTCGGTTCGTGTCGTGTCAGTTTTTGCTAGCTCTACTTCAGGATATCTTTTGTCTTTAATTATCTCATGTTCTCTTGTGGATTGTTTCCTTAATTTATTTATTATTATTATTTTTTAATAGTTGATCTCACTTGATATGGGTGCTCTGCTTGCTGGGGCTAAATTTCGCGGAGATTTTGAGGAGAGACTTAAAGCTGTGCTGAAGGAAGTGAGTGCTTCTAATGGGCAAATAATCCTTTTTATAGACGAGATTCATACAGTAGTGGGAGCAGGTATGCTTCTTTCTTGGTGACATTGGTTTTAAGTCATGTGTGTTGCTACTGTTCTTACTCTCTGTCATCCTTTGCAATAAACTTCTTTAACAAATTTCTTTAATTCTTTTTCACTGGTTTGACTTGCTATTATATAATTTGTAATGGGTTAAACGTGCTCTCTCAATACTCCGAATCAATCAAAACTGAGTTTTAACTATGAATTTAGGACAATGTTGAAATTTCCATGAGAACACCCTCTAAACTAGATTGTAGTTCAAGTTATATAATGCAAAAATGTTGTTGGGTGTCAATGTTGATCATTGGATAAAGCAAATGCAATCACTAGCTCTTCATCTTTTCACAACTTAATTGCAGGGGCTACTGGTGGTGCTATGGACGCTGGTAACTTACTAAAGCCAATGCTTGGTCGAGGAGAACTTCGGTGTATTGGTGCCACAACATTGAATGAGTACAGAAAATACATTGAAAAAGATCCTGCACTTGAACGGAGATTTCAGCAAGTGTTCTGTGGCCAGCCGTCCGTGGAGGATACAGTTTCCATTCTTCGTGGATTGCGTGAACGTTATGAATTGCATCATGGTGTTAAGATATCAGACGGGGCTCTTGTTGCAGCTGCTATACTCTCTGATCGTTACATCACTGAAAGGTTTTTACCTGATAAAGGTTTGTCTTGGCTTATTCTCGTCCCTACTCACCGTTTTCTGCTGTTGTCTTTCGAAGACACTTGTAATTTTATTTGTCTCATCAGAATCCTCGTGTGTCCTATACAGCTATCGATCTTGTTGATGAAGCTGCTGCAAAGCTGAAAATGGAGATTACTTCTAAGCCTACAGAGTTGGATGAGATAGATAGAGCAGTGCTAAAATTAGAGATGGAGAAACTATCCTTAAAAAATGACACTGATAGAGCATCCAAAGAGAGACTTAACAAGTTGGAAAGTGATCTCAGCTCATTGAAAGAGAACCAAAAGGAGCTAAACGATCAATGGGAAAGCGAAAAGGTTCTTATGAACCGAATCCGGTCAGTCAAAGAAGAGGTATGGAGTATTCCCTCTCTGTTATTTGAATTTAAATATTAACAATCACTCCATCAATTAAATTAAAAATAAGAATCACCGTGCTTTTCATTTCAAGATGTGATTATAATACATATTTTTCTTCCTTTGAAAAATGCCTTATCAGATCGACAGAGTCAATCTGGAGATGGAAGCTGCTGAACGTGAATATGACCTCAGTCGTGCTGCTGAGCTGAAATATGGAACCTTGATGTCTCTTCAACGGCAGTTGCAGGAGGCTGAAAAGAACTTGGCAGAATATCGTGAGTCTGGTAAATCCTTGCTTCGAGAAGAAGTTACTGATGTAGATATTACTGAAATTGTTAGCAAGTGGACTGGCATACCCTTGTCTAACCTTCAACAATCTGAGAGAGAGAAGCTTGTCTATTTAGAAGAGGTCCTTCACAAACGAGTTATTGGACAGGACATGGCTGTCAAATCTGTGGCTGATGCAATTCGCCGTTCAAGGGCTGGATTGTCTGACCCGAATCGACCAATAGCAAGCTTCATGTTTATGGGCCCTACTGGTGTAGGGAAAACTGAGCTTGCAAAAGCTTTGGCTGGTTACCTTTTTAACACCGAAAATGCTCTTGTACGTATAGATATGAGTGAGTACATGGAAAAGCATGCAGTGTCACGGCTGGTTGGTGCTCCCCCCGGTTATGTTGGATATGAGGAAGGTGGGCAGCTCACTGAAGTAGTGCGACGACGACCTTACTCTGTTGTCCTGTTTGATGAAATTGAAAAAGCCCATCATGATGTCTTCAACATCTTGTTGCAATTATTGGATGATGGACGTATAACCGATGCTCAGGGAAGAACTGTCAGTTTTACTAACTGTGTGGTTATTATGACATCTAACATTGGGTCCCACTATATCCTGGAAACTCTGAAAAATACTCAAGATAGCAAGGATGCAGTGTATGACTTGATGAAAAGGCAGGTTGTAGATTTGGCTAGGCAAACATTCCGTCCCGAGTTCATGAATAGAATTGACGAATATATCGTTTTCCAGCCTCTTGATTCCAGAGAAATCAGCAGAATTGTTGAGTTACAGGTAAAGATTATAATCTTGGAGGAATGCATGGCTATCTGCAGATTATAGTTGTTCAACATGGCTGTCTTTCTGTTTGATTTGGTCTTGGAAAGGAACATATCAGTTCATAACTAATTCACGGTATTTATGTTAACATTCCAACGTGCATAAGATTAGATAAAACCTATATCTCACTTGATTAATAAGTCTGCATGGCAGACTGGACCTTGGAATTGAGGGGATAAATTGATACCAAGCCACCTTTTTCTTTAGTCTTGTGTATAGCAGTCCTGTCCTTTATTAGTATTTTTTTTGCTCATAAAATCCCAGAAAATTAGAGTTTACTGCAGAGATGGTGCTGTGAGATATTGAGATTATCCTGAATTTTCTTAATTTACCTTCATTGCAGATGAATCGGGTGAAAGATAGGCTGAAGCAAAAGAAGATTGATCTTCAATACACTAAAGAAGCCCTGAAACTACTTGGGACATTGGGCTTTGACCCGAATTACGGAGCTCGGCCTGTCAAGCGGGTGATACAACAGATGGTTGAGAATGAAATTGCAATGGGAGTTCTGAGGGGAGATTTTAAGGAAGATGACTCTGTCATTGTTGATGTGGATACACTGTCATCAGCCAAAGACAAGTCACCTCAGGATAAGCTGGTCATCAGAAAGCTAGAAAGCAGTCCCTTGGAAAACATTATGGTGGCCAATGACTAACGTTCTCAGAAGTAATTGTTGGAACAAGTGTGTTTTGGTGTAAATTTTGTGGAAAACAAAAAGTCCCACATTGGTGGGAAATAGAAGTTTGTCCTCCCTTATATTGGAGAATGTGGAGTATTTGGGTGTGGCCCTTGGGCTACCCACATTTTGTGGAGAGGGAGGACTTACCTACCAAGCCCACTTATCACACACGCGAGCCGAGCCGGGTCGGGTCGGGTTTATTAATTAAACTTAATTTTTGCTCAGTTTTTGAACAAGGCTTAATTACGTAATTCGTGCCTTGATTTTTGCTAAACGGTTTTGACTGGTTATCTCTCTAACGTTTAGTTACTGTACATTCTCTCTTAGCTTTTGCTGATCTCTTATTTTATGATGTGATACGTCAGTGTCGATTCTTTTTCATGTTCAATGCTATTGTTCAATTTGTTTATTTTTGGTGGCCAATTCTTCCCACCTATTAACCTAGATATCTCAAGAGTGAATCAGCTGTGAATATGCTGGTCCTTACCATATGTGGGGTTGCTCAGTATTATGTATGCTGAGGAGTAAGATCCACGTTCTAAATGCATTTGTGATGAAAGAGGTAGGAAAGTGGGTTGCGTGGGGAACTTCATGTACTCACGTAGCCATGCTGTAAGATCGAGTCGGTGCATTGTGACATTGGTTTTATTTTTTTGGGTGCAATGAGATATGCGCTTATATGGGTATGGTATGGACGTATAGAGGTATGTAGTCACTAGTCGTGCGTGTCGAGATATTTGAAGGTTGTAGTTAGCCCTTTTCTAATGACCGAGGTCCAAAATGTTGCTATGGTGGGGTGAAACAAATCCTTGCTGATAATCTAGGTAGATCATGCATCGAGCCAATGTTGCGTATCTCTAAATCAAGCCCAAACAAAGTACATAATTCTAATCATTACTTTATGTTCTCTGAGCAAGTTATAAGGAAGTTGATTACTTCCAATTTCATTTCCATGTTATTTTCATTTTTACAAAATATTTTCATGTAACGTGGCACATTGTTGTCTTCTTGTACATGGAGACTGGAGCTCCATGTCTGTTCAAAATAAAAAAGAGAAATAAATAAAAGTGGGGCCAATGAGTTAAATAGTATCGTCGGTGAATCCAATATGGGCTGCATTTTGGTCCCTGCAATATATTTCCGTTTCAGTTGTATTTTGGCCCAGAAACTTCTATTTGGGCGGTGTTCAGTCTTGTCAATTATAAATTTCATCAATTCAAACATGTTTCACCTCTCTTTAATACGTACAAGAGTAAGGGGCTATGTAGTAAAATATCTTGGTTTTTATAGTCGATCCTATCTTATTCGAATTGATGATTTGATATTGTTGTTACTCTATGTTGTAGAGTATGTTACAGAGTACTATAACTAACATCTAAGAGTAATAAGATATTTAATCGACAAGTGATTATTGTCTTTCAAACTTTTATCATCAATAAAATGACCGTTTGTCGAATAATTAGATGTTTAGAAATTAAAAGCATGTCAGTTGTTTAAATTTTCCGACACATCTTATGTAACCAATTTAAGACATTGTCACTACGAGTACGTATTAATTGAGCCAAGAAAATGGAAGAAGAAGAAGAAGAAATGGTAGGAACTAGGAAGGAGTTGAAAATTAATGCAGGTAAAGAAGTCAAAAGTTATGTGAAATGTTCTTGGGGGTCAAGTATGAATGTGGTCCAGAAGAGATAGTCATGAACTACGTATATGATACCTGGTTTAAGTAAGAACTCCATATATTAATAGTTTGGTCATTTTGTTAATAGATATTTTCAAACACAGGTTCACTTGGTGATTTCTTTTGCTTTTTCATTGTTTGTGGAAGACAAAAATAAGGTGTGAAAATAAAACCCAAGGGATATTTATTTTTAACTTCTTAACTAACAACCTCAAAGATTATACATCAGTACTTTGTATACAACTTTAAGAATTATACTACCTTGAGTCCTTGACTCCTTCAGTTTGGCTTCACATATATATTTGTATGACAATTAAAATAATTAGCTTAAGGACTGTTTTGCTGTGGATACGATAATACGATCATAATTCCTTCGTTCTTTTTAATTATAACTTATTAATGTAAATTAGTTGCAACATTGTCATTTTTGCAAGATGACACAATCTTCTAATGATCTAATATCTTTCTCCACCACGTTGTAATTAATAAGAGAGAGAGAAGGAAATATCAGTCATTCAATCTTTTTTAAGGGACCTTTATTTATATGCAATATCTTTCTCTTGTTTATCAAATTATTAACAAGGCATGTTGTTGCATGTAGTACATGAATGCATATAACAATAATGTTATACTATAAGCAATTACTTATCTCTTGATGTGTGAACCAAAACTGACAGTAGTCGTGTCATGGCGAACCACTGACCTAAAAGACGATTCCGCGCTACCTCCCGGTGCAGTAGACAAGAAGCGGTCACCCTCCGGGATAAGCACGGCGCCGGAGTTTATGTGCACTCACAAACCCAACTGTAATTCAGAATACTTGTCCAGAAAAATAAAGAACAGTGTTTAGTATTTTAGAGAAGAGAGAGAGGTATGAATTGTTGTATATTTTGGCTGAAGAAAAACCGAGTATGAATAGGCAGCAAAGGCAAAATGGCTAGCAAAAAAGAAGGAAATTGCTCGGCCAGAAAAGCGTCCAGATTAAGTCGATTAATATGGAGCAATAATCAAGGAGAGTAACGACCAGCTATAATCAAAGAATTAATCGCTGAACACATTCCCAACAGTTAGAAAATCTCAACAGTCAAAACCGGAATAAATGTTAAGGAATATTCTGTCAACAAAGAAAGGAAATAAAATTTCTCCAAAAAAATAAGAGGGACTAACGCTCGGACATCGCATTCCCCAAGTCCCTAGGTCGACCTGGCTCGGTTCAGCACGCACGTGTGTGTGTGTGGGGTACAACACCCACCTCCAAGTCACTCAACTAAGTAGTGTTAAGACACTACAACATATAAACAAGGCAAAACCTCTCCCCCCAACCAACTTGAGACTTTTTCCCTTTCATTTGTGAGTCTCTCTCTTGTTTTCTTCCAACAATCTTATTTTATATCAAGAACTTCCAACAAATATTACATCATTCTGAATGGGTTGCACTGATTTAGTTTTGTTAAGTCAGATACAAAAATAAATAAATAAAACCAGATGATAAATGTTCATGCATCATAATAATGGCGGAGGCTTGTAACCCGTAAAGAATTGAGTACTTCCGTATCAAAAAAAGATATGCTCGTGCAAAAACATGCTTGCATTGTCGAATAATGCATTCAGATACGAATTCAGGAATCCAAGTTTAGTTGAGATTATGCTATGATTTATATTTGTATAATTGTATATATGCATAGGTTTGTTATACTAAATTCCTGAATCCTCTCGTTCTATCTCATTAACATAACAATGTTATTACCTATGTTGATTATACTCTAAACCTTCATACGAAGTATGTTGCCTTTCCACCATAAAACTATAACAAACTCCTGAATCCTCTCGTTCTCTTTATCTCATTAAAATAACAATGTTATTACCTATGTTGATTCTACTCTAAACCTTCATACGAAGTATGTTAATATCCTTTCCACCATAAAAAATTAAGTGCATTATGCATTCATTATGCTAGTGTTGCTTCTTAGTGTTACACTGTTACAAATATAATTTCTTACTTATTATAGAATACTATGTAATTTTGTATATATAAATGACCATTAACAAGAAGTGTATGAATAACGTAGAATTGCAAATTATGCTTTTATAAAAAGGAGATAACATCAAAGAAAAGCTTTGTGTATTTGTGTAACTTTCTTAAATATGGAGTAACGAACGTTACAAATTATATATACTTCTCCTCCAATATGGAATAACAAACGTTACAAATTATATATACTTCTCCTCCAGTTCAAGCTAATTTGCTTAATTTTCCTCCTAAAGTTGTCATTTGAATTTGCACCATACTATATTACGAAGTACTAATTTACTATCACATAAAGAATTACTCCCATTTTTCTCTGTTATTGAATTTGTATAATCTTACATTTATTTAAAGTAAAAAAAATGAGTTATAATAAAAAGATTAAAGAAGGGGGCGACGACACATGATGATAAACCGCACATTAACTGCGAGTAGCAGTGTTCACCAGGTGAAGGTTTCAACGCCTTATCACCTTATGTCCCAAATTCCGATCCAATGTCACTATATGTCTACATTATTCTTTTTTTTTTTTTTTTTTTGGGAAACAACTGTATAAATTATTATTATAATTAGGGGTGGGACATCGGTCTGGCAGTTCGGTTTGACCTCAGTTTGAAACAGTTTCGGTTTGAAACGGTTCGGGTTAAAACGGTTTCATTTAGACGGCGGGTCGGTTAAGTTCGGTTTTGATTAGTCACAGGTCGGTTCGGTTTCGGTTTATTTTTGTACGAATTAAATTCGGTTCGGGTCATAAACGGTTCGGTTTATAAACAGTTCGGGTCATAATCAGATCGGTTAGAAACGGGTCGCTTCAGGGGCGGATTTACTCGGGTCAATGCCGGTTCGGTTTTTAAACGGTTCGGTTAATAATCGGGTCGGTTTGAAACAGGTCGGTTCAGGGGCGGGTTTACCCGGGTCAATGCCTGTTCGGTTTATAAACGGTTCGGGTCATGATCTGACCGGTTTGAAACGGATCGGTTCAGGGGCGGTTTTACCGGGTCAACGTCGGTCCGGGTTCATATCGGTTCGGGTCATGAACGGATTATTTTGAAATGGGTCGGTTCAAGGGCGGGTTTACCCGAGTTAATGCTAGTTCGATTCATATCGGTTCGGTTTATACTCGGTTTGGTGCTAAAATCGTTTGGGTTAGTTTGGTAATCGGTTAATTGGATCGGGTTGAAATCGAGTTCTAAAAAGTGGTTTTGACCAGTTAGCGCATTTTGTTTTATATCAAGTTGGGACTAATATTTCCATTTCATTAGCGGGTCGGCATAGGTTGGTGAAAAAAATAATGGATCGAGTAGAAATTGGGTTTTAAGAGATTTTTGACCGGTTAGCTATTTTCGTTTTATATAAAGTTGGGACTTCGTCACTTTATTTTCAGACATCGGATTATATACAATTACACAAATCTTCATTTATTCAATTATTCTATATCATGTTAATATGTTATTTTTCAAGTTTGGTTATACTCTTGTTGTTGTTTATTCGATATTATCATATTAGTCTATTACAAATTTATAATGTATTAATGTATTATTGTTTCATTATTAAATATATATTATTAGGTTATCAGCTTCTTGTTGGATTGTTTTAGATATCGTGTCATGACCATGTTTTGATGAGTTGCTACTTTGAATACGATAAATCGATTCAGATATCAGATTATATAGAATTACAGAAATTCTCATTCATTCTATATCATGTTAATGTGTTATGTTTCAAATTTGGTTATAGTCTTGTTGTTGTTTATTAAATATTAGTCTATTACAAATTTATAAGGTATTAATGTATTATTGTTTCATTATCAAATATTATCAGGCTATCAGCTTCTTGTTTTAATTGTTTTAAAGATCGCGTCATAACCATGATTTGATGAATTGGTACTTTGAATACGATAAATCGATAATTGATATTGTAATAAACTAATAATTTAATGTTACAGAACTATATTTGGATGTTTAATTAAAATCACGATTATTCAATTTCCCATTAGTCTAATAAAGTAATAATTGACAATTGTTTGTAACTATTCCATAATTTTGGTGTTAAAGTTATATTGCTGAATTACTTTGTTGTCTTACCCTCTCTAATCACCTTTTAAGATTACGTGCCTACAAGGCTGCAACATATATATGTTGCAGCTTGCAAGTTAAAGAAAACGGGTGGGGAAGTAGAAGTATTCAATTAGATCGATCATCAACTGTTTTAAGTTTTAATAATCAGATACATTTATCGATTATCTATACATACCAATGATAGTATGATACCAATCGTACCATAAATTATTATTTATTACATATACTGATATACATATAACTAATATACATTAAATATGTCATATTGAATCAATTCCAATTTCCAAACATTTGTGTTTCTTACAATTTATAAGTTACATAAAGTTAAGAGTACAGTAGTGTTTTTATTAGTACGTAGCTATGAATAAAAAAAAAACATACTATCCAAATCCATTATCCCATGATCCGTGTCACCGTCTTATATTAAATATCAGCCATTGATTTGCATGTCATCTAACGGCCTATCATCGCACACATTCCAATTCACGATCCGTGTGTTTTCTTTTCCACCAATCAGATCACTCTTATCATCGTCTCTTTAGTACTCTTTTTGATTTCTCTCTCGTTTTCTTAATCCTCTTCTGTAATATTATCAATTTTTTGAAGCCATGACTGCTAATATGCTCACTGCTCTCTCGTTTTCTCTCTCATCTCCTCTTCCTTCTTCCTTTCTTCTTCTTCCTTCTTCTCCCTTCTTCCGTCTATGTTCTCCTTTCTTCCATCTCGTTTCTCCGTCTCCGTCCACCGGCACCACGCACGACGGTTTTTATGGTCAAATTCGACCACGAAACTCTAGATCTAGTTGTTTCATGATCGAATTTGGCCTTTTAAAACCAAATTTGAGGCCAAATTCAGGATTAATATATAAGGTGTTTTCGTTCTTCCTTTTTTTATTTTCTGTTTTTCTTTTTAATTTTTTTTCAAGTTGTGGGCAACGGAGGGGGTCGAGTTAGGGTGGGTGCGGCGGCGGTTAGACTGGGTTCGGGTGGGTGGGGAGGGAGGATTTTTCGAGGGAGGGAGGGAGTTTTATGGTGGGTGAGCAATTAGAGTGAGTTGGGGGGTTTCGAGGATGTTGGGTTTCTTGGGGGTGGGTGGGGTGGGGTTACGGTGGGTTTGGGTTTTTTTTCGATTTTTTTGTATGGGGTGGGGTGGGGTGTGTTACGGTGGTGGTGGGTGTGGTTGGGGTTGGGTCTGTTTTTTTTTTTTTTTTTTTTTTTTTTTTTTTTTTTACAGTGACGGTGGTGGGGTGGGTGGGGTTTGTTAAGGGGGTGGGGTGGGGTACGTTACGGTGATGGTGGTAGGTGGGGTGGGGTATGGGTCTGGGTTTTTATTATTTACGGTGACGGTGGTGGATGGGGTGGGGTAAGGTTTGGGTCTGGGTTTTTTTATTTACGGTGGGTGGTGGGGTGGGGTGGGGTGGGGTGGGTTACGGTAATTATGGTGGGTGCGGGGGTGGTGTTAGGGTGGGTCTGGGTTGACGTTGGTGGGGTGGGGGTGGGTTACGGTAACGGTGGTGGGGTGGGGTGGGGTGGGTTACGGTAACGGTGGTGGGTGGGGGTAGTGTTAGGGTGGGTCTGGGGTGATGGCGGGGGTGGTGTTAGGGTGGGTGGAGGGTGGTTGGATTGGGTGGGTGGCCAAATTTTTTCATTTTTTTATTTAATTTATAACTCCTAATTTAGTTATACAAGAATATAATTTTAATTTTGTAATAGCAAAAAAATTTACAAATTTAAATCAATAATTATATGTAAAAAAAATTGTATAGTTAAATTACATTAAACATCAAATATATTTCGTGGAATTCTAACAAATTGTTAAAGGCTGCCAATAGTTCAATTTGAATGGAACGGGTTGTAAACGGTTCGGTTTAAATAGTTTGTAATCGGATCGGTTTAAACGGGTTGCGGTTTGAAAATAGTTCGGTTTAAACGGTTTAATGGGTTATAACAGTTCGGTTTAAACGGTTAGCGGGTTGTAAATGGTTCGATTTAAACGGTTTTTTCCTACGGTTTAAACGGTTTCGGTTTATAAACGGTTCGGTTTAAACAGTTAGCGGGTTAACATTAATCGGTTCAAACAGTTTCGGTTTATAAACGGTTTGGTTTGTTATTGGTTTACGGTTCGTAACGGGTTAACATTAATTGGTTCGGTTCGGTTTCGGTTGGACATTATACGGTTCAGTTCGGTTTTCGGTTTAAAATTAGCGGGTTATAAACGGTTCGGTCCGTGATGGTTCGGTTCGGTAACGGACGGTTTCACGGTTCGGTTTGAAAAGTCTCACCCCTAATTATAATCCTTTTTTTTATATAATTATAAACCTTAAAAGAATAAAAAGATTCAACGGGGTAATGTATGATGATGATTCATGTGTGCATTGTTTTCCCAAATAAAAAAAAAAAAATGATTCATGTATGCACAGCATACATGAAACAACCCAGAGTAGAATACACCGTTGCAGGTTGGTAACTTCTTTAATAATCACCCCCATTCTCCACTGTCTCCCTTGCTTTTTTGTTTTTTCGAAAAAGCTTAGACTATGTTTGTTAGATGGAAAAAGAAAGATTATAAATGTTCCATAACACTAAAAATTATTTCAACCCATTTAAGGAGATAACATAGTCGCATGTAAATATCCACAATAATACATGTAATAAGTATAAATTAGGATAATTTAATTCCCCGTTTCCTTTTCCTTTGTAGAAATTCAAGTGTAGAGATACTTCCTCATAGAATTAAGAATCATAAAAGCAATAACGGTGTTTGGTTAGGAGGGTTTTTATACAAGTAGAGAATCAAGTTTAATTAGAGAGCAATGTTTCCAAACAAAAAAAACCCACTTAATATACCAGAGGAATACTCCGTAGCTAGAGTTGTAGCTTACGAAAAAAAAGGCGTTAAAATTGTACAATGGGACTAAAAGTCAAACTATAGACTCTATAAAGTAATTACAAAGCAGGGCCTATAACAAAAACTTTTTTCTCTGTTTAAAAATACGAGTAATTAATATGGTCAAGTTGATAGACTTGTCAAATTTACTATTTTGATTATAATACCATTGTTGTTAATGCATTTTACGTGATAACATTTGTTTTTAATTAATGAATTAGTAAAAAGATAATACAAAATATGACATGGTCCGTCAATCTAAGACGAAGGGAGTATATTAGAGTACTTGATTGTAGTTATGTAAGTATGATATTCCACAAAATAGTTGAAAGTATTTTATTTTTAAAAATAATTATAATAGTACTTGTTAGACAATCTACAATTAGAAACCAAACAAGATGTAAGGCTGTAACCAGTGAATCGTAGTTGATAGTACAAGTATTGAACACCAAAAACATAAAGATGCACTGTACTCATAGTCACATACTGATACAAGTAAAAAAAACGTCAACCTAGTTAACCATGAAACAACTGAAAACAAACATTATTATTTAATTCTATTAATACCAAATAAAGTATCATCTCCACTTCCTTAGTTCCTTCCCTTCTCTTTGTTTGCCCATCCCTCCACACTCCCCCAATTCCACTACACACTGCTATTCACTTTCTTTCTCCTTTAAATCCACCAAACAAACACCCCTTTTCTCTCTCCTCTTCTTCATCTTTCTTTGTCCGCAATGTAGAATCAAAGCCAAACTCAAACTCAAATTCCTAAATCAATGGCCAAGTGTCATCCTCCTCAAAACGACGTCGGATCTCTCATCCTCAACCACTCTTCTTCTCCTCATCACCACCATTGCCGTCTCTGGAACTCCTTCTCCCTCCGCAAACTCCTCGCCACCGTCAGCTGCGGCGGCGCCGCCATTTCCAAACCTCAAAAGCCCAAAAACTCCCACCACTCAAATACCCAAATCAACAAACCCAGCCCACCAACCAATGGGTCCTCATCTCGGGCCGGGTCGGGCAAACTCGCGGATCTCCTCAACCTATCTTCATCCTCATGCTCTTCCGAGAGGAGAGAGAAAGTGGAACAAAATGTGGAAGATGTGAAGAAGAAGGAAGAGAGGTTAGAGGAGTTAAGAATGGCGGTTAAATTGTTACATTCAGAGGAGAGAGAAAATGGGGCTAAGTTTGTCAGAAGTTTCGCCAAGGAAGATGCCGAAGCTCGCTCTACTTTAGCTATGCTTGGCGCTATTCCTCCTCTGGTCGCCATGCTTGATAATGATAATGATGATGATGATCAGCCTCTCATTCAAGCTCTTTATGCCCTTCTTAATTTGGGCATTGGCAATGATTTGTAAGTTCTTTTCTTAATTTAACTTTGATCAAATGCAATACATGTTCATTATTGGAAATAAAGTAGTTTCTCCAATTTATTGCATCATTACTGTTTTTAATTAAAGCATGTTGTTTATTGGAAATCATAAATCAAACTGTATCTGTAATTTATTGCAGTTTTTTTTTTTTTTTTTTTAAATACAAGTACGGAGTAATAATTTTCCGATTTGGTTTCTGGTTTTTTTTAAAAAATTATTGACATTGAATGCATGTTGTTTCTGGAATAGGATTTGATTTATTTTATATTTTTTTTTTTTTTTTTTTGGGTTGTGGAAAAATTGTGTTAAAAATGGGGATTATTTTTTACTTTATGTATTCACTTGTACTGTAGAAGGGGAAATATGTTAATCTATGGTCGCTTTCATTTGGGGTAAATTGGAGTTTTTGTTTAGATTCTTACTTGAGACTTCTGCTGCATTCCTGCTATATTCTGTTCTTTTGTGTGATGTTCTGTTGTTTTCATCTGTTAAGGGTAAATTTGGGGGAAATATGGCCTTTGCTTTTGATCTTGGTCTCACTTTTTTTGGTGGTGTTGTCAATTTAACAAATTGGTATATTTCTCACAGGAATAAATCTGCTGTAGTTCAAGCCAGGGCGGTACATAAGATGCTAAAGAAGATTGAGTCCTCAAATGGGTGTCTTAACTCGGCTGTTTCCGAAGCCATTGTCGCGAATTTCCTTGCCTTGAGCGCGTTAGATTCTAATAAGCCCATCATTGGAACATCCGGGGCAATTTCTTATCTAGTTAGCGTGCTAGAGGATACCGAGAAAAAGGCTAGCTTGCAAGCAAGGCAAGACTCACTTAGAGCACTATACAATCTTTCTATTACACCCTCGAATATTGCCTTGATTCTTGAGACTAATTTGATTCAGTATCTTGTGAGCATGTTGGGAGATATGGAAATGAGTGAGCGTATCCTTTCGATATTAAGCAATGTAGTTTCGATCTCGGAAGGGAGGAGGGCAATTAGCAATGCCCCGGATGTTTTCCCTATATTGATCGATGCTTTGAATTGGTCAGATTCACCAGGGTGCCAAGAAAAGGCCTGCTACGTAATAATGGTGATGGCGCATAAATCTTATAGCGATAGGCAGAATATGATAGAAGCTGGGGTTGGATCAGCATTGCTCGAATTAACCCTTTTAGGTAGCACATTAGCACAGAAAAGGGCATCAAGGATATTGGAATGTTTGAGGGTAGACAAGGGGAAGCAGGTCTCTCGGAGCTTTGTTAACAATAAAACCACAGCGGCTGTTTCCGCCCCTATATGTGGGTCGTCCTCATCTACCGCCAATGTTAATAAGGAAGAGGAAGATATGATGATGAGCCAAGAGAAAAAGGCGGTAAAGCAATTAGTCCAGCTGAGTTTACAGAATAATATGAAAAGGATTGTGAAGAGGGCTAACTTGCCCCAAGATTTTGTTCCTTCGGAGCATCTCAAGTCTCTCACAGTGAGTTCAACATCGAAGAGCTTGCCCTTTTGAGATCATTGAAGATGAGATATTTCCCGAGCAGTAAGAGTTAGTGCTCTCTCCCATTTTCCTTAAATCAATGTTCATGTGCAGCATGTAATGGTGGCATTATACTGATATCATATGTTCATATAGATTAGCTATGTTTTGTATCCATGTTTGGCTAGCGTAATACTAGACATTTTCGTACGATTTAGCATTTTGGTTGTTAAGAGCCATTAAGAGGATCATTGTATAGTAGAGTCCTTATCACTAGTGAATGATGAAAAGAATAAATTTCAATAGCACAATCTTTCATTTTCTTCTTTAAGTTTGTTCACGATTTGCCCGAAACCTATGGGAAGCAATATAAATCACCAACATTTCATGGGGTGGTTTTCAACGAAATGGTCAGGCCTTGCATGCGGAGTGCCATCCTATATTAATTCCCTTGCCTTAAACAGTTACAAGTCACTCTTTCGTGTTTAATAGTCGTCGCCCTTCTAAATCAGTTCATTTACTCAGTGAAAGCTTTGTTTAGACGCGTACATGGAGTAATTAATAAATCCTAGGATCTCGACTTACTCCGTATTAATTATCTGCATTGCTAATCCATCTCTGAATCATTTGAATAATACTCTCCAACTGAGTATATTTCAAAAAATGTTGCAGATTAGGAAAACAAGAATTAAAAGCAGGATTAGGCTGCTGGATGTGTAATTAAAAGTGCAACTTCAGCTTCTCTTCTTGTTTGGGTAAATATTTTATGTAAAATGTAGCACATGATGAGTCCTGGAAACATGTTTTTTTTTCACCTTAAAATAACTGTCAGTTCCCAATTTCTCTCTCTTTTCCTGTTTTGCTTAGCTGTAAATATGCTTCTGGATCTGTGTTAATATGATAATGCACTGACCAAATTTGTTCATTTGCACACTTCCTGCATTATATTAATAGATTACTATAGTTTGTTAATTGTCAATTGTCTTATATATTTATGGAAATTGTTAGGTTTAGTCTATGTTTGTGTAGAGTCATGTGAACTTCCCACTAGACTGTTATGAGATGATAACGTCTTTGACATTTATATTGATGTATTTATATAGCCAGCTCAGAGAGTTAGACTGTTTAATTTGGTAAAATTTTGGAGATTTGTGCTAGTGGTTGGTAGGTCAACTTCTATGTGTAAATCTTGTTTGTGATTACCATTATGCTAGTGTTTTTGAGTGATAAATCTCAAGTGGGAATTATTCTATATCTATTACTCCGTATCTTGTTAGGGTTCGTTTGATTCACCACTGACAAAATTTTTGGAATTATAAGTTTAGACATGGGCTATCGGAGATTGACATTACGGAGTACTTTCTAAGTGGCTATTACTCATTTACTCCATCCGTTTCAGAATAAATGTCTCACATTGAAGTGGATACCTACTATTGTTTTATTAGACCCTTGACGGTAGACCCATTAATCAAGTTTTTGTTTTCAAAAACACAAGTAGAACTTTTCCAACAGTCTTTTCTTTCAAGAACACAACTTTTGAAAACCACTGCATATGATCTCAACATTATGAGATTTGGGGAAATGTCCTCTCAATTCTCTGGATTTTTGCTAAGGTTAGTAGACAAACACAAACTACAATCTTTATGAGATCATTCTACCTGCCCAGATTTCTTGGATTAATGTTAAATAGTCATAATTTCACACTCAATCAACTGCATTGATTCGACGTGACGATGTATAATGACTAAGAGGAGCCAATAAAGACATATCATTAATCATTAAGGTGTATTACAGCAAGATTTGTAGAGCCTTGCTAAGCTACGAGGGATTATTGATTCACAAGTTGTTCAATAATTTGTTTATCTAAGGGGCCGTAGCATCATATCAAGGTCCCTACACTACACATTTTCAAGAACCATACTACTCTTATGCTTCCCTTTTTCTCAAGTAGTGCGTATTCTTTTTTGGTACGAGTTTTTTTTATTTGTTTATTTGTGGGATAAGGTAAATTGATCATGTGGGATGCTCTCTTTAGGGCCAACCCAACGGCCCTTACTGCATACTCTTGCACTTGCTCGCCCTCTCGGTTCATTTGTGGTTGAACTCTTGGAAGGATGGTATTGGTGATGCTTGCCACCTGAGAGTATGCTCGGTTTGAGTTTAGAATGTTTAGATGACATACAGGCTGTGTTTGGACCTTCTCGAAAAATTATTAGATGCACATAAATGGCTATTCGCAATCATCCAAACTAAGGTCTTGTTTGGTTGACATTTAAATTCATGGGAAATTTGATTTCCTAGAAAATGAATATATACATACTTGTTTGTTTGACAATAATGTAGGAATTGGGACTTCCTAAGAAGTTGTACTTTCCACAAAATGGAGGAATTAACTTACCTAGTCCTCCCTAGGTAAGTGGAACTTCCTATGGGAAGTAGGAATTCCTACATCCAACCAAACAATTTTTGGGAATTCCTTAGAATTATAATTTCATAGGAATTGAAATTTCATGGGAATTTCTACTTCCCACATCCAATCAAACAAGGCCTAAAGTGTTCGTACATTCACCTAATAGGTAGTGTGATTTGCTAACCCCTGCCTCCAATGTGAACTTTCTTTAAGTTAGTGTTTAATTAGCAAGTTTTAGGTGAGATCGTCTAGTACGGAGTCAAGAATTAAGGATGTTTATGTTTTTACTAAGTGTGAATTTCAAAGCCTTTTTCTTTCTTTTTCCACTTTTGGCAGTGGGAAATCTTTAACAGTACGAGTAGTAGAGTTGATTGGGGTGGTTTGAAAAATTAACAAGATAAATCGGTTTTAACAAAAATAATAATTGAGTTATAAGTAAACATGCATGCATGTGTGAAAAGAGAGTTAGAAGTCTGGTTTAGTAAGTGAAAGTCCAAGTTAGTCAGAGGTGATTTGTTGGTTTGTGTGTGCGCCATAATTCAAGGCCAATTTTGTCAAAATTTTAGCAGATTTGTGAGTACCGATAACGTAGCTTTGACTTCAAGGGGATTATACGAATACTTAGACATTGTATTCTTAATTTTTTTTTTAGGGAGGTGATACACATACAACATCAATTAAAAATTGACAATTTATCATTAGCTAAAAATATGAGAGGGAAATTTTTTTGTCTTTTGGCGCCATTTACCAGAAAGGCAGAACAAATTTCACTTGTGCCAAAAAATCTTCCTTGTTACTAAAAAAATATTTTACGTTATTAAAAAATACAATTTTGTTACTAGAGAAAATAATGTCCTAATCAGAGTCATTAATGAAGAGAGATGTTTATTATAAAAATCGAATAATATTTTATTTGACAATATTTTACAAACTACAAATCAAAAAAATATACGAGTAATAAAAAAACCAATGAAATTATTTTTTAATGATCTTTCTATAGACATTCATATCGATACATTTTCGAAAATATTATGAAATTGGACAATTTTAATCTTACTATAGTTTGTTATTTTATTAATTGTGTTACTAATTTGTCCATTATTGTTACCACAAAAATTTCAAACATATAAAAAAAGTACAAATTATAATTTTATTACATATAAAGTACCCGTATAAATTTAGATAGGTGTTAGATACAATTAAACAATATCAAGTGTTGTACGGATTAATTCATACATTGAAGGGTTTAATTCATTCTTTAAAGGTTTTTAATCAAATAATTAAGAGTTCAAATGAAATCATGAAAGGTTACACACAAATTTACAATATGATTACATCCATAGTTGTTAAAATCCCGATCCGAATCTTACGATCCTACGATTCTATGATCCAAAATTGCGTGATCGATCCGGATCTTTGGTAGGATCTACTCCGATATTAATTATGAGTGGTAGGATCTCAACACGATCCTACGATTTTATTACTATCCTACGATCCGATCCAACATTTTATGATAATATGAGACTTTGATTAATTTTGAAATATTTTTTATCACACATTAGGTTATATGCACCTAAATTTAATGTATTCAATAATTATCGCTAATAAATTAGCGAATACGAGACATTAATATGATTTTATCAATTAACAACTTGCAATTGTCATAGTTAAGGTCTCATTCTTGACAAATTTGCACATAATTTATTAATTTAAACTTGTGTTATTAATCTTCTAACTACCATACAGACAAAGCTAAATGAAGATCGACCTTTCTTAAGCAAACCAATGTCTTTTAGCATTGAAACCCCTTAGAAGAAATGTTTTTAAGTCAATTTATAGCATAATATATAATATTATTCGTTATTAAGTAGGATCTTACGATCCTACGATCCGATTCTATCGATTCGATCCCACCCCCCCCCCCCCCCATCGATCCAAGGTAGGATCCCGATCCTAACAACCTTGATTACATCTATACATAAATATATTATAACGTGTAGACACCTTATTCCTCCTCTCCTTCATCTACATTTTTAAACCTCAAGTTAACCAATTTCCAAACAACAATAACAATGAACAAATTAGTGGTCTTAAATGATAATGATAGACATTGATTTTCCAATTCTAAGATGAAATATGAATACATTGTTGTAAATTATGATTCAAACATTTGTGGGTTATACACAATTATTATCATTTACAACTTATTATTGTTAAATACTCATATGTGTTTACATATATTTCATTAATAAGAATTGTGTTACAATAAGTTGATTTTATTCTTTTTTATTTGATTTTATCATATTTACAAATACTAGTTTACTCATATTAAATATATGGAAAAGGCTAGTTTGCTTATAGTATCAATAAGGACTTTTTGTAAGAAACTACCTAATAAAATCCAGAATTTGTGAGAAAATATATTTTTTTGCTTTTGTTACATTTACGTTAGAGTAAAGAAGATTCATAGAAGGGCGGTAAATTTTTTAGTTTTGAAAAAGGGACGAATTAAGGGTTTGCAAGGGATCGAACCCGAAACAATGTAACATCAGTGCAGTTTTATATTCAATGGTAACCAAAATTTTGAGAGTTACAATGTGTGTCAATTCTAAAGAACAAATTCAAATCACTTGTTGTAAATATAGCTTATAATGGAGGGTTTTAATTATAAATAAATAAATAAACAGAGTTAAAATTAAATCACAAAATGTTATATATAATTATTTTCACCTGTTCAAATTCCTAAATACTCTCATATGTTTACAATAATTTTTTCATTAATCATAATGTTGTTACTAGAATTTTTTTTCGGATGAAGGTACAAAAGTCACAGGGTGAAGGGTTAAAATGAAATAGTGAAGGGCTAGTAACAAATCACTTTGGAATACATACAATCAATTTCGCTTTCTATAAAAT